TAATCTGACTTCATTCCATGTTGCTATGAGTATTTTAGTTTATAAATCATTCCTCTCCTTCCTATCCTCTCCTTCCTATTTTGTTTTAGAGATGTGAATTTGTTTATGCCAATGGAAACTAAATTGTACCTTATGAAAAATTGAATTGTGGAAACATAATGGACATGTAGTGTGATACAAATGAAATCTTCAAGATCATCTGATGTTGCTTATACCTATAATTTCTCATTTGAATATTCTGGTTTAATCTTAAGCAACTTTTCCTGCATTTAAAACAAACCGAAGTTATTCTTTATCTAAAGGACACGGTTCTCATGATTTGCTTTGTTATTTCTCATGTTAAAGGGAATAAACTGTAGAAAGAGTGAAACAATAAGTAATCGGTTTTACCTTTAACAGTAGAGCAACTTGATGTCATCCATCAACTTGAGTTCGATTTTATTTTTCAGGTGATCCCATTTATGACGTGATACCCATACATTTAGATGTCTTTAGAGGTGATTCCCGTCTCCTTAAGCAGTTTCTACAAAGTTATAAACTTCCTTTGATGAAAAAAACACCAGAACATGGATCAATGACTTCTTGTGATAAGTTTGGACGACTTTCGTACCATGCCATGTAAGTAATAATGAGTTTCTTTCTTTCCTTGATATTAATTTTGTCAAGCTTGTTAGTTTTTGGTTCAACTGCAACATATGGCATTAAGGTCTGCAAAATTTATCTGGATATTTTGTATCTGCAGGTGCTACTGTATTTTGCATGATGAGAATGTATTGGGTGCTATATTTAGTATATGGACAGAACTTAGAACAGCAGAGTCATGGGAAGAAGTTGAGCAGACAGTATGGGGAGAATTAAATAACTATGAAGGCATTGCCTGAACTATTTTTTGGCATATGAACCAATTTATTTCAGTCTTTGTAGCATTAATTCAGTTCTCACCTGGCCATAAGACATCCGAACAGGACATTTGATTCATTTATTATTCAAATTATTTGGTTGTCTTTGGTTTTCTTAAAGAGGTGATTGTCATTCATTTGACTATGTTTTCTTTTCTTTTCACTTTCTTGTTTCATTATAGACCAGGTTGGGAAAGTTTTGCCTATCGGTAAGTTGGTTGCTATCTATATTTCTGTATCAAAATGCATGACTTAAGCTCTTTTAAAAGCAGTTGTAAAACCTTTCAAACATGAAAAATCTAAATCAAACAAATTCCATTAATTTTTTTAACTTGCTATCACTATTTGACTGGTTTTAAGCTGCAATAGAAGGCTTAGAAGCAACGAAAGGCCTGGATCTTTTCTTGGCTAAACTTTCACTATGACGTTCTCTTTGTTCCTTCAATCTCTGTGCAAGGAGCTTCTGATACTCAGCAACATCTACCTTTGCCTTTGAAATTCTTTTCTTTTTCTCAGCAATTCTTGCTCTCTTCCTCTGCAAAATTTATGGAGTGACCAATTTCTAAATCTCGGGAGCTTTGCTGGCTTTCTTTCCTGCATTACAGAAAAACCAGTATGATAAAAGTATATTATATTGCATAAATAATGAGAATGCTTCAATTTAAAAAAAAAAAATTACAATTTAGGTGCTTCAAATAAAAAAAAAAGGTAGAATCTGGACAAATTTTCTTAAAACGAAGAAAAAGGTCAAGGTTCCTTTTGGACAAACATTACACACATACATTTGATAACCAAATTAAAAACAAATACTATATTCATTATGACACTAAAACTCTTACCGTCAAAAGAAAATATACCAGAAAACCTATCAGATTTGTTGTGAATGATCGACGGTAAGTGTTGACATACTTTCAGACATCATCCTCCTTTGAGAGATTGAAGATTTTATGAATCTTTGATACTCTTTTGGGTCCTCCCATTCTTGGTTTCTCTGGTATCAATCAGTAAGGAAGATTATTCTCACCCTCGTTCACAATTACCTAGTGAGAATATAGAGATCAGGGCTCACAATGCATCCTCGAACAGACTTCCTCCTTCGGTCTCCTTTGCACCTACCATATTCTTGGAAGCAAGGTGTCCCTGGAGAGGAAAATATGACAGTCATTTCATACCAAAAATGCCAGTAAAGTTGCTATCATCACATGCGTCTGGATGACATTAATGATTAAACAGTAAGGACCAACCTCTGTGAAGCAATAGATGGACCCTGTTTCATTGCGAATTCCTGATTGTCACATCCTCCTCTTGATTTTGAAAACATAGCCCTTGAATTCCTGCCAAAAGAATGAAGTCTTTTATTAAACTAGGAACTCTAAATAAGACTCCATTGAATCCAATTCTTGAACATAGGCATACCTCTCCAAGAGCATCTAAGACTCCATTGAATCCAATTCTTGAACATAGGCATACCTCTCCAAGAGCATCTCCACTGACCTCCTGTGAGATCCTCCTTGTCAAAAAATGCTCGCCTATACAGTATAAAAACAAGAAATCAACAATGAGAAACATTTACATTTACATTTACATTACAAAATAAAAACATTAAGTCCTTCAAACAAGACCATCTGCTCCCCGCGTAACTTGCAATGCTCCTTGTTTCACCATCTCCTCAACCAATATACCACATCAAATGGAAATTTGTGTTCGCAAAATTCTATTCAAAATGCGATTGTCCGAGTCAAACGTTGTAGAAATCATGTATGAGTTATAAACTATTAGCTACACGTGGCATGCTTTCTGTCGAAATATAGAGCCTAATTTTTCACATTTTTGGAGTTGATAATAAGAAAGTTTGAAAAGCTTACGAAAAGTGTTTAAATATAGAGCCTAAATGCATCCCTAATTTTTCAGTTTGTAGAATTCATTTATGAGTTATAACTATTAGCTCCACCTTGCATGCTTTCTGTTGACATATATGGAACCTAATTTTTTCATAGTTTTGGAGTTGATGATATAGAAGTTTGAAAAGCTTGCAAGAAGTGTTAAAATATGGAGCCTAATTTTTCACATTTTTGGAGTTGATAATAAAAAAGTTTAAAAAACTTGCCAAAGTTGATGTCTGCAATGATGTTTATGAAGAGTTGATGATGTATAAAGATTTTTGGAATCTATAAATAGGCTTGTTCAAATGTCTTAGATGTAACAAAAAAATTATGAGAAAAAATGAAAAAGAAAGAATTAGAGATAGAGAGTGTGATTTGAGAGCTTGTACAAAAACATTAGAGAGTTTCTTTCTCTTATAATTCTATCTTCATCACGATAAAATTATTTTATAATAATTTTAAAAGTGATCGTGACTCTCACACTAAAAATGAATCACTATAAATTTTGTGTATTTTTTATTAATATTTTTATTCTTTGTATTTTTTATCGCTTTCAGTAAACGGGATAAAAGCTTTTAATTTTCAATTGGTATCAAAGTTAAAAACCTCATTGTAATTTTGATATCATTTGTGAGAATTAAAAGCACATCCAATATTACACAAAACATAAAAAATTTGGTTCATCTTAGTGTGAGAGTTAATCCATTTTAAAACCATTGTAAAATGATTTTATATGACAAAAATAAATTACAAGACAAAAAACTCTCTCTGAAATTTTTTTCATAAGCTATCAAACCACATTTTATATCTCTAATTCTTTTTTCTTACTTTTTCTCACAATATTTTGTGTTGCATTTAAGGCATTTGAGATGCCTATTTATAGGCTCTAAAAACTTTTTACCGTACATATTTATGCATCGTCAACTCTTCGTAAACATCATTGCATGCATCACTTTGACAAAATTTTTCAAACTTTCTTATTATCAATTCAAAAAAAAAAAAACTAGACTCCATATTTGAACACATATAGCAAGCTTTTCAAATTTGCTTATTATCAACCCCAAAAACGTCAAAAATTAGGCGTTCATGTTCAACAATCTCTCGCTGAAGACCAATCATCATCACAGTCTCTCCTCCTGCAGCATTGCAATTTCTCAATTTAAGAAAATCGAACTGAATTGTAAACACACTTCAAATATCTATTGAAATGCTTATGTATAAACAATTTACTAACCAAACAAAAGCAATAAATAAAAGGTCTCAAACCTTCATGATATTGAGTAAAAGCTGTCGCTCAAAATCATTCACTCATTTCCTCTATTGGGTTGTTTCAAATGAGCTCCCTTTCTGACTCACAGTCTAACTCAGCAATTTATTTGTTTCACTGTATCATTGGTGACATGTCCTAAATTCTTTTTTGCTGAACATGTGGACAAGAGTTCTGCTTTTGAGTATTTGACTTATGGGGTTCTATTTTTGTTTTCCTTGAGGTTGCCCATTGAGCCCAATCTGTCAGAATCAGACCAGGCTCAGTTTTCTAAACCGGGCTTGAAGAATTTCATGGAGCAAAATCACATCCCAAATCGGTTTGCTGGGTCTTGGCAACCAATAACCCAACCATCAAATTTAGTTAAAGAAACATATATGTTTATCGTTCAATCAAATGTTCGCAAAAATGCATATATTCATTAAAATACTCAGTCAAATTTAAATACTTATTCCATGGCACAACAAATCGACAAAAAGTATTTAATGAAGTGAATTTGGTAATTTTAAATATGGTAATTTTTAATATAATAAAAAAATTTATATGAAATGACATAATTTAAAATTTTAATAAAAATAATAAATAAATTAACAAAAAATAAAAAAATGATTTAAGGTATGAATGAAATATAACAAAAATTTTGGTGTGATGCCAAAAAAGATACCAAATCCATAAATTGCTCAATTATAAAGCTTCTCAGCAAAAGGATAAGCGCCGCAAAAGGTCCCAGCCAAAAGCTTCACAGTGAAAAATAGTGATTATGTTGTTTTTTTTTTTTTTTAATGATCAGTCAAAGAGGATGCCAATTAACAGACATTTTTCAATTTAAAGGACGGCAAGAAATCAATTAGCCTGAACTTCGAATGAGTTGTGGCCAAAAAAAAAAGAACTTCAAATAATTATGTTTCCATCAATTACACAACAATCAATGTGAAAAAGGACGAGGGAAGCAACGAAAGAGAAAGATCAATCATGGTGGGGCACTTAAAGAAGACACCTTATTAACAGAAAAAACCATATCTGTTTCTAGAAGTATATAGGCTGACTAAATCATGCTATACGTGTCAACAATTATGAGAAGGTTTACGCAATTATTATTGTGCTGATTTCAACCTCCACAACTACAGAAAATAATTGTAATAAGTTGACAAATAAAGAAATCGAAATGGGTTTTCCATGAGCCAAGTGGCATGACAAGGATTGAACAGAAAATTCTTCAATCATTAATAAAAATCTGAGGTTGATGATTGTATAAACAATAGTTCACGACAGTGAGGTGTATTTCTATACTTTTGTTCACACTGGGCACACGAAATCACCACTTGTCTCTACATTTTCAGGATCTGCATCTGAATCTAAATCATCAAGATCCATGCTTCCTCCCATGAAAAGTCCCCCAACCTTGGGGACCTCAGGAGTTTTCATGGCCTCTTGTATTATAAACTGTACTTCTTCCAAGGTTTGGGAAGGGTTGTTTACATCATGGCTCTGCCAGCTTCCTCCTTCCATCAGTTCTATAGGCAAGTTGTTTAAGAACCAAGGGTCACTTTTAATTTCTGGTATAGTTATTCTCTGCACCAACAAGAGATCAAGATGAATAAAACGCCATACAAACAATTCGAACAAAGATAGATGATTGCCAGCAATTAGCTTTCTGTGCATCAGATCAAGCAAAGAAGCAAATTATACCTTTTCAGGATTTGCCACAAATATCCGAGATAAAAGATGTTTGCACTCCATGGAAACTCGAACATAATCAGGAATTGAGTAGTGGACGCTGAGTATTCTCTGCTATGACCAATAACAACTTAATAGAAACTCCACAGTAAGGGAAACCTCAAATAATTGCACTAATTTCAAATCATGTATACTTTTGTACAGAAAGTGGAGCTGATAGTTTATATAAGCACTCACCCCAATTGTCTTTCTAAAGTTTTTCGGATCATCAGGATCTTCAAAGGGATATGCCCCAACTAGCATGACATATAAGGTTACCCCACATGACCAAACATCTGCAATCTGTAGTTATGGAGGATTAATAATAGATAATGTGAGATTTAAGTTGGAGAAGCATAACTGTGGGATTTACCTTTCCATCATATTCTTTCTTGGATAGAACCTCAGGGGCAATGTAAGCTGGTGTTCCTACAGTAGATTTTGGTTGAGAATGAAACACAGATGACTACAAAAATTAGGGGGAAAATAGTTAGTAAAAAAATTGCAGTAAATTCATTGTTTTTGCAAACTTGTGGATTAGTTAATATTATTACCTTTGAGTATCCAAAATCGCATATTTTAACGCGCGGTGCTGTGCTGCCATCCAGGAGAGTATTTTCAAGCTTAAGATCTCTGTGACATATTTGCTACAAAACAGAATTTTCAATTTAATAGCGGTACAAGGTTATTTGAGAAAGAAACAATATTTCTTAGAGAAGTTTAGAACCAAGACTCTAGAAGCCAAAGTTTCATACCATGGAGTGACAGTAACTGACTCCTGCTATCAATTGCTGAAAGAAAAACCTAGCCTGTTGTAAATCAAAATGCAAAATGGATGTTATTATTCAAAATTTCCAATGGATGATTTGGAGATGAGAAACTGCGTATTCAATAGAATAGAATAAAGCACACTATTTCACATCAAAATTTTCTCCTGTTTACCTCATCCTCACTAAATCTACCAGCATTGCATATGCGCTCAAAGAGTTCTCCGCCTGCAGCATACTCCATGACTATGGCTAGATGAGTAGGTGTAAGAAGAACCTGCAAGGCCATTCCACAATGTGAACGATTTGCCCTTCTTCTTATTTTACATTATGGAAAGTTAAGCACAAAAGACTACAATTTGCAAAAGTTGTTCGTTAAAAAGGAACATGACGATCAAATCAATTCCATATCCATCCTCTTAGTGTACTGGTTCAAGGGACAATAATTTGCTTTACTACACTCAAAATGAAATTTGATTATCTTTTTGGCACTTGAATTAAACAATCAATGACATAATTCTAAACTCTACACCTGGTTATCAAGAAAATGAAGAAAAGAAAAATGATTAAACGAAATTCCATAGATATTATTGTCTCTTGACATTTTTTTTTCATTGGTTCTTCATAAAAGGGAAAAGGAGGCAGGTAAAACACCAGAGCCCATGCCCATCTTTATCTATCATAATGGAACATTTATTATTGACCATATTCAGCTAGACAGAAGCAAGACGAGCACAAGACAAAAAAGGAACATGGAATATAGGAGTACCCACCTCTTTGAATCTAACAATATTGGGATGCTTCAATGATCTATGATTCGTGATTTCCCTTTGCACATGTTCATCAATCTGCAACAAAACAAAAACAAAAGGAAAAACGCCTTTAATCAATTTTAATCAATACCCATGTGCTAAAATGATAACAGAGACACCACAGAGAATCCAATTATAAACAGGAAAAAGAAAAGAAGTTAGAAAGATTCAAGAGGTAAAAGGGTATGAACTATGAAGATGACCTTCTGCCCTCTCTCAATGAACTTAACAGCAAAGAGCTCTTTTGTCCATTTATCTCTGACCAGCTTGGCCACTCCAAAATTCCCAGACCCGATATCTTTCACAATCTCATAACGTTCCATAGATTCAAAATCTATGACAAGGAAAAAGTATCCCACTTCAATCCTTTATCTCCTCTCTCTTTCTGTGTCTCTGAAAACAACAGTATAAAACATAAAAAGTCCAAAACTTGAAGCTTTGTTTCGTGAGGTATATCAGGCCAAAGTTAGTTGTGGCTTAAAAGTGATAACCATCATCGTCATCATCACCATAAAAAGTCGTAAAATGTTAAAGCCTGGAACCCTACTGTGTTTGACTGCAGTTATAGTAACAGATAGATAGATAGACAGACAGAGGGTAAATGTGTAAGGAATGGTGGAGATTCGATTTAATTGGAACGGAAAAATTAAAGTGAATTTCCCCTGCCGTCTGGCGGTGTGGAAGGTACAAAAATTCTTCTCCCAAGAAAGAAAAAAGACCACTTGATCACGAGGGGCTACACGCCAAATGTTAGGTGATAAGATTCGCGAAACGTAAAGATAATTTGGTAATGCACTGATTATACTTTAGGCCACAAGATAACTGAATTCACTATTTGTACCTGTAAGAGTTCAATCATTTTGCTGCTCCGACAGTGTTGAATTCTAACCTTTCTAGGGGCAACTAAAGTCAGCTCTGAGTTTTACAGTTCTGATAACTTCATGATAGTTACGGTAAAACCCTGGAAGCTGGTGTGCTGTGGACTGAAAGTTGCTTGCAGATTTTGTGCCAGTAATAGTGACGTGCAAGGTAATGCAGTGGTTTCAGCACAAATTTTAGGAGGCAAGTCAAATCAAGGGAGACCAGCACATGATGATATTTAGGTCTTTTGCTTTTTTAATTCATTCAAGGAATTGCTATTGTGCCAACAAATCATGGCGTCAGCTTTAATGGATCAATAATCAGCCAAGTTATATATTTTTTAGGTTAATCTTATAGGTATTTTGAAAATGTTGAAAGAAGTGAGTTCTAGTATGATTTTAAATGGCTTTTCTGATATGAAAGGAGAGAAGGAAATCCAATACAAAGTATATATATCTTCAGTATCACAAATACAATCTGTATTTATGCAAGGGTTTCTTTTTTTTTTTTTTTTTCCATTTCATATATGGTTGTACGTGGGATGGAGTTAAACGACTGTCAATATGAGATCAATCACGAGTCACGACCAAAGACTTGGAAATTTGGAATATGCAATTGGAATCCGCAAAGTCCAGCCAATGAAGCTAAAATTACCATTTACCGGCGCGTCCAAATCCCATTCAAATTCGAGGGATTAAAAACCATGCATGCTTGCTTGAATGCTTGCACCGTTCTACATGTTTCCCAAGAGTTTTATTTCATAATCATTCTACTTTTCCTTTCCTTTTGATGCACTGAGGATTTCATTGGCACTTGGACACTTGGAAAGAAGGTAACTACATTCACTTTCATGTACATTTTCTAACCATAGGTAGTACCAACCGCCAAGTCCCTAACTTCGTTACAATACTAAATAAAAACGCAGGATAGGAAAGAAAAAAAAAAGCCTTCATTCATTTTCGTAGGGAATTCTTATAGCTCCAGTTAGCAAAGATCTTCTGCAACATCAATCGGAGGACCAGGTAGGGTGCCCCTTTAACAACTAAGTCATATGGTTGTTTTAGTTCTCTTTCCTCAAGCAGAACATAACCTGGGTCAAGAAAATAATAAATAAAGGAAGAAATAATGGAAAATTTTAATCCAAAAGAGAAATGTTGTAATTGAATTGATGATTACCAGGAAGAGAAGGGATGGGGAAATCTAAGAAGTAAGTGGAAGGCCTGCCAAAGTCATCCGAGTATGGCGGAGATAACACATCCAAGATAGCACAAGGTGTCAAGGCAGTGAAGGAGTGGATGTTTCCACCGCTCCTTGGGAACAAGACGGATGGTTCACAAGGTGCATTGAAGATGCCATCTATCACAGTGCCTGCTACTCCATCTGCACCTCTCACCAGTAATAGACTGTTTAGTGATCTATAATATAAGATCAATATATCTTTTAAACTGATTTCAATCAATTAATTTCTCAGTTAAAAGGAAATAAATTATACAAATAGGATGAGAATATGACCCAGAGAGATTCAGGTATAGACATGTTATAAACAGTTTATGAAATATACTGATATATATAGTTTTGATATCGTTTTCTTGTCAACATTCCTTCATAGTATTATGAGATATGACCTATGAGACATTTAACTTCAACCCGAACAGAACCATGTTAATACTTCTTCATAATTATAACCTAAAATCCCTACTTGTTCTGTGGCTAGAGTTCTCCCTCCCTCACCCAATCGTAGCGCTTTGATGGAAACTGAACCATAAAGAAGTTTGCTTAGAACCGTTTCATCCAGGGGATCATGAAGAGCGAAATGTCCTGCCTGCCGGGAAGCAAAAAATTCCTATCTGCACAATTAACAGACTAACTGATCATATAGTCATGACTCACAGATCTTCATATGATGATAACAAATCATGGCAGATATCAATCTATAATTGCATAAATATAGCATGAATAAGTAAGTTAATGACTTGTACTCACCGAGAAATTGTCACACTCATAAACATGAATGTAAGTTATTTCAGAAACTCCTTGCCCAGGAATCAATCCATTGGTGATCTTCGAGCTTGAACTTGGAGATCCATCCAAGCTAAATTCATCTATACCAACATCAACAGCTTCAAATATATCTGCATTTCAGGAATGTACCCTTGAGTCCTCTACCAAAGTAAACAAGGAAGTAAAGACAATAACTCTACAAATAATAAAAGAACATAAGATCTGACAAATCAAGAAAGTCCAGTACTTAAGATGTTTTTCAGCCATTGAATTTGTTGGAAAGTTGGAAGCCCCTTTTGCGAAAATACATAATTACAGGCATCATATAGCATTTGTATTTTGCTTTTCTCCAATTTGCAATCCATGACGAAATTTGTCACCCTTCATAGTTATCATGACTATAAATTAAGAGACGATACTAGACAAATTAATAAGGTTAGCTAAACCTGGGGGCTTGTTTTGACCTTTTAAACTATACAATGGGCTCTCCTTTATTCTCGTTGGAACTTTTCAAGAAGCAAACAGGTTGTACACACGACATTTTGCCCTATGGTTATAAAATAATAATAATAAAAAAAGGTGCTGGGATTAACATGGAGAAATGAAAGGTGGGATACTAACATCACTTCCCCACTTTAAACGAAATTAAAGATTTGACCATTGGTATAAAGTCATTACTTTGTGGCATAAGCAAAATCATTACAAAAAATTCTAGGAATGGAGAAAAAAAGAAAGTAAAGCCATGACATTTGGCCCCCATAAGATTCCATTTTCAGCTGCTTTTGCATGGCAAGATCATGATTGGCTGGCTGGTATTAGTCAAACCATCTTCCAGTCCAAACCCAAGAACTTAAAATTGCTAGGGGTTGGAGGATTTGGGTTGGGTTGTAGACCTATTCCAAGATGTTACACCAGTGGTTTTGTACATACTCAAAACAGATTCTGATCTAAGAGATAGCTCAACTGTTACATATACCACGGGTTTCGTTTGAAACCATAACCTTTATTTCCTGATTACTACTAGTCTTTTCTATCCCGTTCCACAATCCCGCTAGGCTGATTAGTAAGTGCTTGAAAGTAAAAAACAACACCCTAGTTTTTGGACCAAACCTTCAAAAAGGAGTTTTGGGCCATATTTTTTAAGTCCTGCATGCACGGCTTTAGAGGCTACACCCAGCCCCTGTGCCCAAAACTGCAGACCATAAAAGATATATGCGCACGTTAATTTGTCCACCACTCCACTCAATGGCTGAAAAACGATCATTGTAAAATTCAGTATAAAGTTAAAGGTCCAGGTTATTAAGCATAAATACTGGAAAACTTTGGGCGGTTAATTCGGGGTGAATAAGCTAATTATCGTCACAAATTCAGGCCAAAATAGTTGGGTAGAAACAAGTCCAATTGCCACCAATGAGAACCAATGTGAAAGAACTGCTACTATTTTTACACCAAGTATTTGTGTTCGTCTGTTTTTTTCAATGCCTAGCTTGCCAGAATTTAATCATATATTGGAAATAAAATTTTTAATATTTATTTATATATCAAAAATTAATATCAATTTTGATGTGACCTTTGGTAAAAAATATTCTGAAAATTGGAAATACGGAATTAACAAATCGATAACCACCACTTGAAGTTGCCAGGCCAGGCTGTATATTCGGTCTGAAACAGCTATATTTTAACGCTACACGATTTAACATTTCCGGTTTATATATATCCAAGTGGAATATGAACATGTTGGGACAAAATTTACTTCACAAGAAAAGAAAATCGTGATCTCAACTTGCCAAGTTGAACTCTCACATCTGCATATTTGTTGGGTTCATTTCATTGTATTTAAAAAATTTTCTGTTTCACTTTTTTTTTTTTTCTTTTGGGAAGGGATCTAAATGATGAATCTACCCCTTTTTATAATAGTTAACCTCTACGATTATTATTATTATTATTTTTAATAATAGTAGTTAAACTACGATAAGTGAAAAAAAGTATTCAATAATTCCTATGTTGTCACTTGGCAATGCTAGGCTCTATATTGTTTTGCTTGGCTCCAAGACTTTTTATTGTGGTCACAACTCACATGTCTTCAACAAATTTTCTTTTCTTCTTTTGCATACTAAAATTTTCTCATTATTAAAAAAAAAAAATTCTCCTATATTCCCAAAATATATGATGTAAATGTCAGTATACTTAATATTAGACAAAAATTTATTTACTAAAATAAAAAATTAATATTTTATCAACAACTCATACGAATATTTGCAAAAGAATTATTATTAATATGTTGGCATGACAGAACAAACTAAGGTTGAAACCATGCTTTATTAAAATCAACCTATTTATGTGTGAATTTGGCTTTAGATTTAAATCTTATTGTGTGTAAATTTAATTCAATTTTATTTTAGTTTGTTAATTAATTTTTTTGACTAATTATTCAATAATTTTTTATATATGTATATGATATTTAATTATGATAGTAACTTTTTTATATTATAATTTTATAAAAAATTAATTGCATTTGGGAAAGCTTTGTGGGCTTTTTTTTGTATTTAACTAATCCGGCAGAAAGGACTTAGGACCAAAGGTGTTAGCCCAGCAAACAGTGAAATACCCAAAAGCCCACCCCTTTTTTTTAAAAAAATTCAAAATCATCTCCAACCGACCACCACCACCCAAAAAAAGGGGGTGAGTGGGAGTAGCTTCTTGATTTGCCCAAAAACTCAGAAGCCCGTGTTTGCCAGCTTGCCTGTTTTTAATCCCCTCTCCTCTCCATTTGCCTCCTAAATCCAACGG